AGGTATTTTTTGGTGGTAACACAATTAAAAGTTCTGTTGCAATTTGAAGTCATCTTTAGGGTAGGGCAGTCAATCATTTAGGTCATACACATTAGAAAAGACAGAGTATGTCTCCCCTTGGACAAATTAGGATACATATTAAAACACATCTTTTGCATTTTTGTACTAATCTTAATTTTGCAACTTTTTTGCTCCATTAAGACGGCTTCCTGAATTGCAGGTTTTATATACAACATTTCAAAACAGTTTTAAAAACATACTTCTAACAATTTTGTTGTTTACGCTGCTGTCTTCAAGCTAGGTGATATTTTATTGCAGAGACCAGAACACAACTTACTAAAAGTAATAATATGCCAGCTTTTATGTGGCTTCTGTGATTTCATATTATACTTTGTAAGAAGTAAAATATTTCCTTCTTCAAAATCACTAAGACAAGAACCTCAGCCACAACGGAGCTCGTTGAAAAAACAGAATGCTGAAAGATTTCTTGGAAAAGCAATGGTAAAAATCAGAACAGTCTTCCAAAGGCTGGGAAGAGCATAAACAGCAGGAGGAAGATATAGATGATAACAACAAAGCCTGCTAGAAATCCATAGCATATCACAATTCAAGGTAAGTAACAGAAAGAGGAGAAAAGTGACTCTGGAGAGCCTGAAGAGCACAGTAAAGCTCTACATGCATGTGAACTTGAGGGCTGGTGATTTACTCTATGCTAGGGAAAGGAGCAACAGCAATAGCCAGAACTCCAGTCTTGCAATCAAAAGGCACAGGTTCAAGCAAACACCAACACAGCTGCATTAACCTTCATCTAAATAGCACGTGTACCAACAAATGCAAAAAGCTAGAGCACAGACTCCAGCATTACATATGCTAGAGCAAAGACTCCAGCATTACATATGCTGGCCCAACAAAGGCACGTACACACAGACTGCTAATCCGTAATACTGCATCTTTACTTGTTTCTGATTTTGGTAAAAAATAATGCAGGCATGTTTCATTGCAGCTAGACCTTTGTCTAGCTGTCTAAGCTAGACCTTAGCACTGATGTTCCCTGTCTTACTTCTAAAAGATGTCTTTGAGTCAGTGCAATGAATGCATATATCCACACAGATGTCACCGGTAATACCCATTCTGTTTGGAAAACAACTACTTAGACTACCTCGATACATCTATGGTGCAGCACAATTGAGAAGGGCAGTAGCTGACTGAGCTGTAATGTAGTCCAGGCGCAGGACATTCACTGCAAAAACACGATCTTCTTGCATGGCAGCCCATTCCACCCAAAGAAATAGATGGAATCCCCTGTGGCTTTGCAAAGTCTATGCTGAAGCCTCTTGTTACCGTATCTTCATTACAGCATCTTCTGTTCAAGCTTACTGGATTAATCTGCCTCGCAGATGCTATGTAATTGTGCTGCTCTAACTCTTTTCAAAAGTGCACAGACATAACCCAAGTGAAGATGTAACAGGCATAGAGGAAAATTGAAGAATTCTAGCAGTAGCATGGAAAAGAGAACACTAGAGATTCTCCCCTGTAAGAAATTTTTCTTTCAAAACCAAAGTTTGTTATTTTTGTCTCATTTACACAAATATCTAACAAAAAACACTCTTTGATTTTTTCAATACTACTTACATGCCACAATTAGGGAATCTACAAACTGTTCTTATTTGACAGTTTGCATTATTTTGTGATAGAAGATATACAGAAATACACAGCATAACTGAGTGTCCTAAAAAATCCAGAGCCTCAAAGATCAGTAAGATTGATGTGAAAGGAAAGATCTATCAAAAATTTTTATAGACTGAAAACCGTAGGGGTGGCAGACTTAGACTGGAAGCTACAATGTACTAAGTCCCAGACTGTTGATACAGAGCAATACTACAGAGTAGCTACTACCTGGTACATTCAGATCTTGTTTTAAAATTCATTACAGACATCTTACTAAAGTGGTCAAGGTTAGGACACAGCTGATGAATTCTGAAATACTGATTTAATGTTCAAATATAAATACACAATTTACCGTATATTTTAATACATTTCCATACTTAAACCTACAGTAAAGTAATTCCAATATTTTAATGCATGCTTAGGTGAAATTAACTGGATACGATATTCTGCATACTATGTGAGCTCTAGATATTTTTAGCTTGATATCTACCGTGCCTTCAAGGTCTGTGGACTGCTGGTAAGGCACATGCAGTAAGTTAAGAAAAACAAACCTATCACTAATAGGCTTAAAATTGCCGTAGAAGAGCCTGCACAGCTGTTGGAAAATTTTAAAAAGTGTAGAAATCCAAAATTATGATCATCGCCTCAAGAATGTAGGACAGTTAAAATCAGCAGCAACAGGGGGGACATACAGGAGATGAAAATCAGCAAAAGCACTGAAACCTCAGTGGGCCAGTAAACATCATTTAAGCTAACGGTGGTTACAGACACCACACAGGAGTATGATGTGAACAGCATCAGACTCCACAAGCTCCTTCGTCAAAGACCTGCTACTAAACTTGGAATGTGCTTATTCCTTATGCCACCAAACTCTACACTAGTAAGAAATTAATTCTACAGTGGCTGTCGTCTAAATGACTCATCTAAGGATCTACAGCTTTTATAATGACAAAGACCAAATCTAAATGTTTTTCTACCTGTGTTATATGACATGACAAAGAGGAAGGATGACTGACAAACACAAAGTAGTAGAGGTGCTTCTACAACTTTATGCTTTTAGGGCTTGTAACTGGGCAATAAGTTACAGAGGAGCAAAGAAGTAAGGAACTCTAGCTTCTACAAAAAAAAATCTTAAACAAAGGATTTTTTCATGCACACAGTTTGATCCTAACAGAGGTAATGGGTTTCATATGGAATAAAGCCCTCTGGAAGCCACAGAGATGAAAAGCGTTAGGATTTTGGTTTTTTCCTCAAGTGGATAAATAAGAAGCTGTATTTTAGACTAATGAAAAAGACAATTTAATTAAGTTCTTAATATAAGGAAAAATCCAGCCGTTAGGCAGACTTCTCTAGTCTGCCCAACAGCTTATACATTCTTAACAAAGAGAGTGAACAAAACATGGTTTAAGTACATTCTCCTAATGAGACCAGACATACAGGTAACAACACAAAGCAAGTTACTACATTACCCTTAGTTACATATTAAATTGGACCAACACTGAACCAAAAATTTATCTAAAATACTTAAAGTATGAAAGTAAAACACTAGCAAGACCTACAAGACAATAAAGGAATTACAAATCATTCTTAATGTTACAGATGACTAGGCATATAATTAAAGAGATACTTTGAATTTAAAGTTCAAATCCTACATGCATTTCCTGTAGTATACAACTCTGTCTGAAAAAGACCCAAAACATCACAACCAAAAAACCCCCAATGCTATATAGATTTCTCACAATTCCTAAATAAGTATTTGCAGTTCTCAAATTCTACAAAGTAACAAATTAGTTTTGTCATATGTAAATTCTACTCCCACAATTAGGAACAAATTTGTAGTAATTTCACTCTAAACGTTTATCTCTGAAACATCCATGGTTTTCTACACTGATTGTCTTGCTATGCTGAGCATATCCTATATGGGATAATGTTATACATAAAAATTTCATACAAGTAGACATTACTGACATAGAAGGTGATGTAGCACCTATACCACATATATTATCCAGTGACACAGCTATTTAAAAATTCATACCTGAATATCACTTAAAATAGGACTTCTTCAGAGACACATTTTTTACAGCTCTATAGTTGTTGCAGCACAGTAAGGCTGTATGCAGGATCTCCTTTAATTCTAGTACTTTGCTATTGGGTGGTAAAAACAAATAATGTGTTGACTCCTATGCATTTATACCCTCCCTCCTTTCCTTGAATCTCTAAAGCTTACATAAACCATAAACAGCTAGTGTTTATACTGTGGACTAGTTTGTCCCTGCAGTAAATTAATTCATCTCCCAGGGAATGCAAAACACTAAAACTGTTAGAACTAGATTAATCTGTCCTTAATAGGCTTTATTAAACAGGGTACCCTTTTGCAGAGCTGTACTTTCTGAAATCACCACAAAATTATTTCAAAAGTGAGAAAGCAAACATCCTAAAATTTACTTGAAGTGGTAAGCTATCTATTATGCACTATGTGCACTATAAAACAGGAAAAAATACTTTTAGTGAAGAATGGCGGACTTACGTAGTAGAAGAGAATAAAAGAATTAAACTGATAATTAACAAGAAAGATCATTGACTTGCCTAATTTACAACAAATGGTAAACACTTTTCATTTAAGAAAAAAATTTACAGTTTCATCTTTAGTAACAACATGTAAGAGAAAAAGCACCAAAACATCTTTATAGACACAATAAACCCATTCTTTCTCTTTAAGCTAGTTACACCATTTAAGACACCTGGACAGATAACTGCAATCATTTTAAAGCACAAGGTAACTGGCTTTCAGTAGATGACTGCTTTCCTTCAAGTTGCATCTGCACAAGAAAAAAATGCTTAAGACTATAAAACAAAGATTAGATTTTTTTTTTTTTTACAGTTTCATCTCCCTCATCTACAGAAACATATAGAAACATCAGATAAGAGTCACAAGAAGCTTACACTTTCATAGTTTTCTCTTAACTGGCACGGGACTATTTGCCAGCATAACTAGACAATCAGTGTCACTTCAAAATAATTCAGAAAGCATGCTGTAACATTATTGTGGAACGGACAGTACCTCGTTCACAGCAGCATATACTTGGTATACTATTTAAAACATAAACGCATGCATCTTTGCCCTTCATTTATTGACATCAACTAAAGTTACCTTATAAAAAGGTCCTAGTAAACACATAGAATCCTGATTATAAATCATTTTCTGTTTCTGATGCACAGCTGGTTGGTTTCTGTAGCATTTTAGTCCAGAATAAAGGCTAGTCTATATATGTATGCCATCTGTAAACATGAAATGAAAACACATTTCTCACAATAGAAAAATGATAATTAACCTGCACGAACTGCTATCCGATTCATTTTCTTCTTCACTCGCTCTGTCATCTGTTTCTTGTCTGTCAAGCCAACGTGCACCTCCACGGTCTTCTGCTGAGAATTCAAAGGTAGGGATTTCTGAGGTGGATGCCATTGGCCAAGGAGGTGAATTCTGGAAATCCTGTTGGCTGGACCTTCTGTAACCAACTGCTGTTAAAGGTAGGTTACCTGAATCTAAAAACTTTGTGCCACCAGTTGTTACATTTTGTGCTCTGTTCCAGAAGTCTCCCTGGTGGTTTTCAATTGCAGAATTAGGGGCTGACGCCTGATGACCAAACCACCTCCATCTGATTTTTAAAATCTGCTTCACGTCAAACTCTTTACGAGAACCAGACATCCTCAGTGAAAGCCAGTGATCGTCTAGGCAACAGCGTAAGAAGCAGCACACATAAAAGAAGATTTGTGCACCCAACCAAGACAAGAGAAACACATGCTCTGCCTGTCTGTGGCAAGCAGATTTTCTACAGAAGGAGGGGAGAAAGCGTTGCATTCACATTAAAAAAGGCTTCTTTAACGGTATGTCGTTTGAATATAAACAAAAGGCAACAGACAGTGAAAAATCCCGAGATAAAAAGAGGAGGTGAAACAATCACCTCAATCAGGAGAAATGCTAATCAGTTTACCCTAAAAGCTCCCAGGCTGTTTCTGTTGCTCTCCTCCTGACCATTAGCTTTCAAAACCACCCAACAGTATTCATTAAAGCCCTTTCAAGAGCTGAATACCACCCTCTTTTCTTAAACCACAAATGACAGAGAACGGTAATTCCTGTACTGCATCTTAGAATCTCTGCTTCTTATTGTTAACTCTTGCTACTGCAGAGTAGGAAAAAAAACCACAAAAAGCAAATTAAATTCTTCCTGCACTGCTAAGAATAAATTTACAGAAAAGACTCCAAACCAATTCAAACATAACTGATTATGCTGGGGAGAAACCGAACTGTAAATAATTCTTTTTCCCATTACAGGACACGCACTAACTTAAAAAAGGACAAGAACAGCCTGGAAGGCTCAGGGGACTAGTACTGAGTTATAGAGCCTTTCATCTTGATGTGTTTTGATTCAAATCTAGGTCTGCAGTAACAGAAAATTTCTATCTGAAATGAGCTAATGGTTTCCATTCACTTACACATCACTAAAAGCGAAAGCAAGAAAAAGCTACTAACTGGTCACTGCCCAAGACACCAGAAACATCCCCTGCCAAACAGTCAACAAAAGACAAGTCTGCAAAAGGCTTCTTCCTAATCATATACCACCAGCTGTCCCAGATCATGTTAAAAGTACTGTGATGGAACAGTGAAAAAAAAGAGATGCACACTTTTGAGATAGAATTTCCTCTATATAAGTAAATTTTTTTGTGTCTTAAAATACCCAGTGAAAGTTTTTATTTGAATGAGGAAGAGACACACAAAAGGACAAAATACACAATGACCGATTTACATTTCCTATAAGAAACAGCCTGTTCTCAGGATGACATATGGAGCTAGTTAGGTATAAAATGCTGAGACTCATTCCAATGACATACAAATAACAATAATAACCATTTCAGAACAGCAAAGAGGCACTGGATTTTATGAGTCCCTGATAAACAGACCTACACTGTCAATCTTGGCAGTTCGCTTTGTCTGTTCAACTCTCCAGGGTACATATGCAACAAATTTCTAAGTGCTTTTTTTCTACCTACAGTTTTAATCAAAAGTCACTACCTCTCAGATGAACATGATGAGCTACAAAATATGTAATCCTGTAATTAGGATACCTGCAGTGTTCTTTAAAACAGGTTATATGTAGAGCCCATATGAAAACTTAGCCAGTGTCCAATTTCACCACTCAAAACCAAATGCTTCGTTTCATAGTCAGTAACAGAAGTAAATCATGCTGTTTTCTTGGGAACCACAATGCTGAAAGGGCTAGTTTTAACCTGGAAAGCTCACCCATCCCTGCTCAGAACAGTTATTTACGAAAGCGCTTCTCACAAATGCCAGCAAAGCTCATTTCTATAGAAACATCGTCCCAGCTGTTCTCTACAAAGAGATGCTGCATCTCAAAATACAGACCCTGCCAGCATCCTGGCCTAACAGAAGCTACATGCCGAGGCCTTGGCAGCACGGCCTCAAATCAGCTGAAGACACTTGGAAGGTGAGATGATTAAGTAGGTAAATAAGCAAAGTTGCTACCATCTTTGTTGGGGATTTCATTTAAATACAGACAAACAGACATCTATTGAAGAAGGATAATTATTTAAGGTATTCGCATCAAAGTTGCACCAATGTTTAACTCAAATGATGACATGCAGACCCTGCTCATCTTGTACACATACAGCTGTTTAAAGCTGAACAGTGCATTAAACACAGTGTTCAAACACCATCACTTGTGTAACTGCAAGTTGACTGGAAAGTACAGTACAGCTTAAGAAGTAATAACAAAACAGTATTTTTTATTTATCCTCTCCATATGTTTTGTGATGGTGTTAAGTGTTCATCAAGGATGGAGAAGTAGGACAAGCAACTGGTGGTTTTGCTAACACTCATCACAGCAGTAGTGTTCTAATTACCCATTTAACTATGAAAAGCAAGCTTTAAATAAAGTTATTTTTGACTGGTATGGTAAATCCATTATACATAAGGACTGACCTGGATTCTCTTTCTTGCATAACAGATTCATTTAAAATTCAAACTGTCCCAGTAAAAGTCTATTAAGACAATGGCAGATTTGCCAATTCAAGTGCTTTTTCAGCACTTTCTCATGACTTGGTGGGAAACAGCGTAATTAATACTTTTCTTCAACTGTGAAGCTATGGGCTCAGAGACTAGGAAACAAAATGTGCTGGAGTTTTAGGAGACCAAGACACAGAAGTATTTGCTATTTGTTTTCATTCTTCTAGATTATACAAACTCCCCTCTATGCCCTCTCCCAAATGAGCATTCTCAGACAGATAGCATGAATATCTAAAATATTTCTCTGCTCCATATAAATTAGATACCAGTTTGTATTACAAATGACAAGATAAGACAAGTGCCACTTAATTTGTCATCTTAAATTGACAACATTGCTCAGAAATAATTGAGGGCCTCTTCTTGTTCTGGACTATCTTTATTACTATGAATAATGTGAGTAGCTTTTGTCAGGTCCATGTCTGGACATTAACAGACTTCTGAGGAGACCTCAGACGATGAAGTTAGTTAGGACTTCCACTCACTAGGACCACCCAAACCTCATATTTGACATCTCATCTAGTGATTAGTGCTCACAAATCCCAACGCCCATCCCTAGTCTATGGCCTCCCATCGTAGGTCTTTATAATGCACTAACACATTTCTGAGAAACCCGCTAAAAAGCTACGCTGAGCAGTATCATCTTAGTCAAACACAGTATATACAGACTTTACAAGGGTTCTGAAATATTTTTTCACATACTAAAGGCCAAAATGGGTTTTTTAAAATGAAAAAACAAGACTACTTATTCTTTTCCGACCTTTGTCACTGTTGCAGCTGAAGAGGCATTTTCTATTTTGTGGTGAATCATAACAACACCTTAAAACACAGGCACATTGTCCTCTTTGGGAACATAATTCTGTTCACATTAATGACGTAGCGTAAGCTTCTTGTGAAGACAATTTTGAGAACTCTGATTTTGACTGATCAAATTGGTTGTCTTAAGAGTGGTGCACTTGAGCATTTAAGTACATAACTCTTCTCATATGAGCAGCTCCACAAAGTAATAAAAGCCTGCAGTTAGCAGTGGGGATCAGTTTCCCAGATTCTGCCTCCCGAACAAAAGAAAAATATTTAAATGCAAGTAGGTAACACCAAGAACACAGCATGACAGCTTTAAAAATTGCTCTTTCCAAAATCTTCAGAACAGTTTATCTCCACAGAGATATTTTTTTATTAGTCAAAACCTTTACTATACTGACAGTCTTTGATATTATATGTTTATTCATGCAAGTGTTGAAGGAAGACTGCAATCCAGCATTATTAGTTAAAATTGAAACAATACTTTTACTCCCAAGATACTTTTATAGTATATTTTGAAGGAATATGCACTCTACATATTATTAAGCACATCACTGGGAAACGGGGAAAAAATATTTAAATAATCAAGTCTGAATAGTTTTATTCATTATGACTTTTCCTTTTTCATTAGGAATTCAGCTTAATGTTCAAATATACAAATATGTTTATGGAATACTTCTCTGAGTCACTTTTAAGATTTGAATCCCAACACTACTTTTCATGGCAACATTTTCCTGTCACTGCCATGTTTTGGCTTCAAAAAACTATAACCACTCAGCTTCAGGGCAACTTGGATGTAATATTTTCAAGTATTTAGTCTGTTAAATGGATTTTAAATTATCCATTTTTAAATTGAAGATCTAGGGGCATAAAGGCTCAGCTAGTCCTTAGATATTAATGATCCTTTAAAGTGACAAGAATGAAAGTATCAAAAATAAAGCCTTTGTTTTGACTGCAAAAGTCGTTTCTCTCTTGAAAAAATACAGCTTAACAAAAGCATTAAATATAAGAAGATGTATTTTAGATATAACTAGACTCACTAAGATGTGATAAAGTAATAAATTATTGCCAGTGTTTAGCGATCCTAGATATGTAGTCTAAAGCATAAGAAAGGTTCACTGACCATAAGATGTTCATCAATTAATCAAATGCATACTTAGAGCATTAAAAGGCATTTAAAATTTAACACTTTTCAAAAAGAGATTTTTTTAACTTTACATTATTAATTTGAGGCATTAAAATAACCAAAGAAAACAGCTATAGACAAAACCTCAACTGCTATTCTGCTTATAACTATGCTTATGTTAAAAGAAATGGTAAACGTTTGCTTTCTTTTTTCTTCCCTGTTCCCGTGCTCCAGCCCCAAAATTACAGAAATAGCTCAACAAAGGCTTCAGGAAGACAGCTATGTTCATGCTCTGTGATTCTATAAAACAAAAACGACTTCCTATTCCAAAGTCTTTTATCAGTGCAAACACTTCTGGTTCGTGGTTTTGTGAGAAGTCCCTTACAGCAGCAAGAGCACAGTTCATCCAGGAGAAAAAGAGAACACCCTACAGTCACTGACTGCATGTACTTAAATTCATTGTTCTGACTGGCAGAAATGAGCTCCAGCCAAATTACTGGCATTACATTGCAACTTTCTGCCACTTTGCATTGCACATTTCCCTTGAGAGGTGCAAACCATATGTTAAGAAACATGGATTTTAGAGCACTCAGCTTAACAGTAACACAAAAAGGCCAGTACAGAGCAAGAGCCTGGTTTGCTGTTTAGGTCATTCAGATAAGGGGGAAAAGGAGGGGAATGGGGAACAGACAGATTTCCATACTTAATAGAAGACTACACTGTCAGATCCTAGAATTTTTTTTTAGGTCTAGTATCATATAGGTTCACACAGAACAATACTTGTGATGCAAGATATTTGTGTTTCTTTACATCAAAACATTACCATAGACTTCTGTCCATCCAAGTAATACCCAAGCATTATGAGGAACTGCACCATCTACAAGGAAAATGGTAAAACCGAGTTATTCTTGAGTAAACAGCGGAGTAAATTCCCTGAAGCTTGTGCTCTGAGTCCATCACGTCAGCTGTGTTTTTTCAGTTTAAATTAATTTTCAATACAAAATGGACAACACTGTGAAAAGCCAATCCCCCAAATCGCAAAACCAGTTTTCTGTACTGAAAGGCTCAAGTAGCCACACAGAGACTAAGACAAGGTTTCCAGTTCACACACTCCAGGAATATGGGTACCAGCAACTCTAACGAAAACAAGATTAAACTGCCAATCCAGAGATACTCCAGCACAAATCAACTCCTCTAGAAATGTTACCGCTC